CGCTGCCCCGGCGTCCCCCACCCGTGACTCCCCGGGCGCGCGAGAGGTGATGCGGGGGTGAGCGTGGGACCACTGGCGCTTGCATACGGTGGCGTGGCAGAGAGGACCCCCCGGCAGCAAATTTGTCTGAATTTCCCCCCCCTCCGAGAACCTTCTCCTGAGGTTGCTCAGATATTTCCTCTGCTCTCGGAGAGAGGATTGGTGAGACTGCAATGGGGAGAAACGCAACCAAAATCCCCAGCCTGGCCTTGGAGCTGAGATTTGCTCGTTTTTCCTGAAAACTGGCAAACCCAGGACCCTTTGGGGGAGGATTTGTTCTGGTGCCCCAGCCCGACCGCTCGGGGTTACCTGCATGATGGGGAGGTGAGGTCCGGGGTTACAAGCGGCGTGCGCGGGGCATCATGTTATCCGGGCGCGTGTCCGTGGTGCGTGGCCGGTCCCCCGGGGTGGGGGCAGATGCCAGGATTGACTGGGGGTTGTTTCTTTTTAAGAATTTCCATGATTTAATGCTTTAATAAGCTTTTGAAGCTTTTCATAGCTGGGGGCATGCAAACAGTGCAGAATCAGCTTGTCCCCATCAGAGAGCAAAGTCTCTTGCGGATGCTCCAGATCCAGCTGGAGCCCAAAAGTCCCTGCACGAGATTGCTGGGGATGTCGGACCGGCACCGCTGGGTCCCGGCTGTCCCCAGGGAAGCCAGTTTAGAAATATCTGGCCCTAAAAATGCATTGACCTTGGTAGAGGTCATCAGCCTGAGGGGCAATGTGGGCCCCACCTTCTAGGGACGCCGGGCTTTGCTCCGATGGGGAAGGAGGGAGATGCGGAGAGGCTTCGCCCAGTCACTGCTCGCTGCCAGAGAGCCAAGGGCTTTTCTGCTGCCCCCGGAATAAATCGGGGGGGAGCAGCTGGGACCCGACCTGCTCAGTGCAGCGGTGTCAGGCAAGAGGAGCCACCGCTGCCTTCCCCGCGTGTCCCCTGGGACATTGGTCGTATCACCAAAAATCTCCAAAAAGGCAGCTCTGGCCGCCTCTGGCTGTTGTGGCTTTCCAGGGGGAAAAAAAATTC